TCCAACAAATTACTCACTTAATACATCTCTCTCTCTCTCTCTCTCTCTCTCTCTCTCTGTCGAAAGTTTCTTAATCGAGGAATCGCGAAAATTCGAAGGGATCGGTCGAAGAAAAATCGGTCGAGGAATGAAGTTACGGTTGGCACAAACTCGAAGAAGAAAAAAAGAAATAGAATAAAACGAAAGGAACAATATCTGTCGGTCGAATAGAAGGTATAGAAGGATACACAATTAAACACGTAACTCGATAATTTCTCTGGCAAACCGCGAATAATACGCGGCAACGGTTGGGTCGGGCCAGGTGCGCCATTATTCATCCGTTCTTCTTGGCGAGCGTAACGCGGCCTCGTAAATCTGCGCCCAGGTAAGGGAACGGGGACGACAAAGTTGCCAGCAGGGGCGCAGGCAGTTTCTCAAACGAAGCGACGCCCAAGGATTGCGTTCGTCGCGTGAAAATCCTCTATCTTCGAACACCTGATACGAGGAGGGTTGACGCTTGAATTCACCGCCGATTCTCGTAATTCCTGTGGAAATTCGATGGATGCCCGTTGCGATTGGATTACGGATCCAATTGATGGCTCCCCGTTCGACCGATGACAGGGTGAGCCGTAAAAATGGATTAACGTTTTTTGAATGCAGTTTGAATTAATGCGAATTAATGTAAAGGCGATTACACTCTCCTGAGAGTAGTGCGAGACGAAATTTATTCATTTTCGAGTTACAATTTTTGTATATAATTGTCGAAAGTAAGCGTATCTTGAGATTCAGGGGTATTAAAAGGATTAATTAATCGGAGAAAGTTCTTTACTTTCAGGATAAACGATCGATTATAATGATAATCATAAGTAAGCTAATCAGTCGGAAGCAATACGAGTATATTAAAAGGAAGTGGTTATTTTCGAAATCGAATAGCGAATAGTTTTAAAATTTCGTGGAAATTTGCCAGAAATTGCAAATTGTTTAAAAAAATAATGATTTTTGACGGGAAATAAATCTGGATAAAGAGAAGGAGTTACACGAGTTTTTTTGAGGGTGAACAGATAATTGATTGACGTTTAAACCAAACTTGAATGGTTATTGCACCGTGGTCGTTAAATCAGTTTCGAAAGTGTCAAGAAACTGTGTTAACTCGGTAGTGCTTAAAGACCAAACAAGATTTCTACACGAGGAGTCGGTGTATCGTTAATTAACATCAGCTGCTCCGAAGATACGGCACGTCTGCTTTGGTATCATTTTCATAATACTCGTAACGAGCGGGGATCGAGGGAATTTACGCTAGAATAAACTTCCGTTTTCGCAATTAATTATATCGCATCGATTAATCGTGCCACAAAAATTTCACTTTCTATGCAATCGTGAACAATTGCGATACTCTGTTTAAATTAAATTATAATGTAAATTTGGATAAGAAATTTGTATATGCTTCGAGGAGTTTCAATATTATTTTAATTCAATCATGCCAATATTTATCGAATTATTATCGAATTTAAAAGGAATAAAAATGTTTCACATATTTTATGAAATAATCTGGAATTTATTGATTTATAAGAATTTAATAAATATGACAAAAATGTATAAATCTTGGAATATGAGATTTAATATTTTAATTCTATATTGGTTACAAAATTTAATCGATAAATTTGTATATTTTATTCGGTGCTTCTATAAGAATAAATATTGAAATCATCTTCAAAGATATAGATTTTAATTAATGTTATATATATGTGTGTGTGTTTCGTAAAAATACTTGAAAATATTAAAATTTTAATTTTAATCGTAACAAATTTTCCAAAAGAATTGTAACAATGAGCTAATTGAATAATAAAAACCGCAAATTATACAATTTCGAGTAATACGGTAATACATGTGATTAAAATTTTCTATTATTAACCAGCCTGCAAATCATCGTTACCAATCTATTGAAACTTCAATTTCGTCTTCATATTACAGCTAATTTTTGCTAATAAGGGAGTAACAAGGTAGCGACATCCATTGTAGTTGCAAAATTTTACGTGATTTTGGGTACTGCAGCTAATCGTGAAAGTAAATTGGAAAATGTTAATATGAAAGAAACATCTGGCTGTGTGCAAGGGAAACTAATTTTAAATTCGATTTTGGTATCCGAATTTATTACGACAACTCCGCTGATTGCAAAAGTTAATTCAATCGACCTGGCCTCATAACACCTGTACAAAACTAAATATTTGTTCGGTATATATATATATTTTCATTGAATGAAATTTCCAGTAGTACGTGCAACTTTCAGTTTTTAAACAGCAGATATAATTTAATTAATAGATCACTCGATTTCAGTCGTATATGCGAAAATTTTTTCATAATTATATAATGTGCAGGTTTTCAAAGTGGATATTTTCTAAATACTTAAGTTATCCATGTTATAAATCCTTTTTTCACAATAATTTTAACTTTTTGTTTTAATCATTGACTTTGTTTCTATTGTTTATCGAGACAATTTATCCCGAAGATCATTTCACATTCGAGTTCGAGTTCGTAATCGATACTTGGTTCTCTTATTTTGATGCTTGTTGTAACGATTTTTCTCATTTCTTTTTCTTTCGTCGATTTCCACTGATATCCACACGCGATAAAATAACTTCGTATTAAAAGCACAAAATTCCCCTAATATAATATATCCAAAAATCACCTACAAAACTAATCTTCATTTCCTAAATTTTTATCCTCAACCCTGTTAAAAGCGGGCTAATTTAAAATCTCCACTAATAAAAACAGTGACATTTACTTAACCGTCCGCCCACGGTTTCAACGAGGAGATTTTTCACCTGGAGGAATCTC